TACGCGTCTATATGGAGGGTATTCGTCACTCGGCAATGGGGTAGGCGTCTATTTGGAGGCTATTCGTCACTCGGCAATGGGGTACGCGTCAATTTGGAGGGTATTCGTCACTTGGGATGCAGATATTGCCGTATAAGTCAACGTTTATAAAGCAAAAATGGTAGACGCAGAAATGTCCTTAATCAACCATGTTACAGGCGAATATTTTGGTATCGGGTCTAAACTTTCAGGAAATAAAGTAAACTTTGGAAAAGTGTTTTGATTGTGACTTACACTTCAAAATCATTATGAACGTATTTGTGTACGTATTGTCACTAACTTGACAGATAGCACTTGTTACTGGATTCACGGATAAAACTTGTTGCAGGACTGACGTATAGTACTTATCACGTAACTCACGGGATAAAACATGTGACGGGACTCACGGGGAGCACATATCACTCATTGACTCAGGAAGAACAAATGTCACTGGACTAGGGAACAACACATGTCACTGGACTCGGGAACAACACATGTCACTGGACTCGGGAACAACAAATGTCACTGGACTCGGGAACAACACATGTCACTGGACTCAGGAACAACAAATGTCACTGGATTCGGGAACAACACATGTCACTGGACTCGGGAACAACACATATCACTGGATTCAGAAACAACACATGTCACTTGACTCGGGAACAACACGTGTCACTGGACTCAGGGGACAACACTTGTCACTGGACTCAGGGAGCAACACGTGTCACTGGACTCGGGAACAACACATGTCACTGGACTCGGGAACAACACATGTCACTGGACTCGGGAACAACACGTGTCACTGGACTCGGGAACAACACATGTCACTGGACTCAGGAACAACACATGTCACTGGACTCGGGAACAACACATGTCACTGGACACAGGGGATAGCACATGCGGTTTGACTGACTTGTTTAAAGTCCAGGGAAGATATGACTGACTTGTTTAAAGTCCAGGGAAGATATGACTGACTTGTTTAAAGTCCAGGGAAGATATGACTGACTTGTTTTAAGTCCAGGGAAGATATGACTGACTTGTTTAAAGTCCAGGGAAGATATGATTGACTTGTTTAAAGTCCAGGGAAGATATGACTGATTTGTTTAAAGTCCAGGGAAGATATGACTGACTTGTTTAAAGTACAGGGAAGATATGACTGACTTGTTTAAAGTACAGGGAAGATATGACTGACTAGTTTAAAGTACAGGGAAGATATGACTGACTTGTTTAAAGTCCAGGGAAGATATGACTGACTTGTTTAAAGTACAGGGAAGATATGACTGACTTGTTTAAAGTCCAGGGAAGATATGACTGACTTGTTTAAAGTACAGGGAAGATATGATTGACTTGTTTAAAGTCCAGGGAAGATATGACTGACTTGTTTAAAGTACAGGGAAGATATTACTGACTTGTTTATAGTACAGGGACGCTATGACCGCTTCTAAACCTGAATGATTAATAATAATGACTCGCTAACAATGACGCCCTTCGTCCTTGCAGTAAGAACAGTAGGTAAGATATAGGTGGCACAAAGGTCATATATGGAGCAAAACCTGATCGAATCTCAGCTCCTCGTGTTGTTTAGTGACTGTGTATAACTCCGATGCCACATGACGTTACAGCAGAAATACCTCAGTAAGACCCCGTTAACCCGCCATTAGCAGTACTGGGGGCTCTACTCACTCACTCACTCATCAAACCACTCAGTCACTCAGTCACTCACTCACCAACCCACCCACTCACCAACTCACTCACCAACCCAGTCACCAACCCACTCAGTCACTCACTCACTCACCCACCAACCAACCCACTCACCAACTCACTCACCAACCCAGTCACCAACCCACTCACTCACTCAAACAACAACCCACCCACCCACTCATCATTCTATGAGGCTTACAGATATTTTTATTGATAGTACTTGGTTACTGGAATTTTTTTCATTTTTTCATTGACGACATGTGTCAACCAGCCAAACCAGGGTGGATCCGTATCCTAGTCGCGGGGGACAAACTGGCACGTGCTTCTCGCGTGGACATTTCAAGGCCCTATATTTAAACTCCAGTAGCTCATTGCGCAATGTAAGTTGCTCGGTCTGTCATTCACATGAAAGACATGAGATAAGTAATGGGGAAGTACTTAAAGCAGGCTGGCCACTGAAATAGACGGTGTCATTAGCCCTCACCACGGTGCACTCAGCAGACTTACCCAGGGTGTTCGTAAGTAGAATGATTAATCATCGATCAGGAGGGTACATTGATTTGTGGCTATACATGCCACTAGGAAATTATACCGGTAGACAAGTTTAGAGTGCAATTCAACGCAAAGGAAGTAACTGTTGTAGCGGCGATGAGTGTTTTAGTAGCATCATTCAAGTCAAAATGTTTATCATAAAATCATGTTGCATAATTATCATTATCATATTCATCATGTGTGCATTTCTGAGATGGACCTGCAGATTCGGGCTGTGAATTTGTCGATGTGAAAAGAACAGAAGTAATCTATGCTCAAGATATTAAACCAGGTGAAGCCGACATCAAATCTTGTACATGTCATGTGTCAGTGAAACCACGTGTTGCCCTGCCTACACACCTGGTAATCAGGGGGACCACGTGTTGCCCTGCCTACACACCTGGTAGTAAGGGGGCCACGTGTTGCCCTGCCTACACACCTGGTAATCAGGGGGACCACGTGTTGCCCTGCCTACACACCTGGTAATCAGGGGGATCACGTGTTGCCGTACCTACACACCTGGTAGTAAGGGGGACCACGTGTTGCCCTGCCTACACACCTGGTAATCAGGGGGACCTCGTGTTGCCGTACCTACACACCTGGTAGTAAGGGGGACCACGTGTTGCCCTGCCTACACACCTGGTTATCAGGGGGATCACGTGTTGCCCTGCCCACACCTGGTAATCAGGGGACCACGTGTTGCCCTGCCTACACACCTGGTAATCAGGGGACCACGAGTTGCCCTGCCTACACACCTGGTAATCAAGGGGACCACTCGTTCCCCTGCCTACACACCTGGTAATCAGGGGGACGACGTGTTGCCCTGCCTACACACCTGGTAATCAGGGGGACCACTTGTTGCCCTGCCTACACACCTCGTAATCAGGGGGACCACGCGTTGCCCTGCCTACACCTGGTAATCACGGGGACCACGTGTTGCCCTGCCTACACACCTGGTAATCAGGGGGACCACGTGTTGGCCTGCCTACACACCTGGTAATCAGGGGGACCACGTGTTGCCCTGCCTACACACCTGGTAATCAGGGGGACCACGCATACAGCAGCACACATGCCCATACATAGGCGGGGATCTGACATGGGGCCTCTTCCACACGTGTCACAGGTAAGTACAACACACCTCCACAGAGGCTCTCCTGACACATAGCTAGGTAAGTCGTGTGATATGGTGTTATCTGAAAACACGGGATACTTCCATTTAAAGACATGTGATACGTGAAGACGTGGGATATTTCCATGTAAAGACGTGCCATACGTGAAGAAGCGGAATATCTCTCGGTGATGGCATGCGTGATAGGTGAAGAAGCGGAATATCTCTCGGTGATGTCATGCGTGATAGGTGAAGAAGCGGAATATCTCTCGGTGATGTCATGCGTGATAGGTGAAGAAGCGGAATATCTCTCGGTGATGACATGCGTGATAGGTGAAGAAGCGGAATATCTCTCGGTGATGTCATGCGTGATAGGTGAAGAAGCGGAATATCTCTCGGTGATGACATGCGTGATAGGTGAAGAAGCGGAATATCTCTCGGTGATTACATGCGTGATAGGTGGAGACGTGGAATATCTCTCGGTGATGACATGCGTGATAGGTGAAGAAGCGGAATATCTCTCGGTGATTACATGCGTGATAGGTGGAGACGTGGAATATCTCTCGGTGATGACATGCGTGATAGGTGAAGAAGCGGAATATCTCTCGGTGATGACATGCGTGATACGTGAAGACGTGTGATATCTCTCGGTAATGACATGTGTGATATGTGGAGACGTATGATATCTCTCGGTAATGACATGCGTGATAGGCGAAGAAGCAGAATATCTCTCGGTGATTACATGCGTGATAGGTGGAGACGTGGAATATCTCTCGGTGATGACATGCGTGATAGGTGAAGAAGCGGAATATCTCTCGGTGATGACATGCGTGATACGTGAAGACGTGTGATATCTCTCGGTAATGACATGTGTGATATGTGGAGACGTATGATATCTCTCGGTAATGACATGCGTGATAGGCGAAGAAGCAGAATATCTCTCGGTGATGACATGCGTGATTTGAAGAACCGGAATGTTTCTCAGTGATGACATGCGTGATACGTGAAGACGTGTGATATCTCCCGGTAATGACATGCGTGATACGTGAAGAAGTAGAATATCTCTCGGTGATGACATGAGTAATACGTGAAGAAGCGGAATATCTCTCGGTGATGACATGCATGATACGTGAAGACGCGGAATATCTCTTGGCAATGGCATGCGTCATACGTGAAGACGCGGAATATCTCTTGGCAATTGCATGCATGATACGTGAAGACGCGGAATATCTCTTGGCAATGACATGCATGATACGTGAGGACGCGGAATATCTCTTGGCAATGGCATGCGTCATACGTGAAGACGCGGAATATCTCTTGGCAATGACATGCATGATACGTGAGGACGCGGAATATCTCTTGGCAATGGCATGCGTCATACGTGAAGACGCGGAATATCCCTATGTAAAGGCATGCGTGATACGTGTACGGTTACGGTTTCCTGCAGAAGTTGGCCCTGTGTCTCCATTGCTTCCTGTTAGAGTTTCCCCTCTGTCTCCATTGCTTCCTGTTAGAGTGTCCCCTCTGTCTCCATTGCTTCCTGTTAGAGTGTCCCCTCTGTCTCCATTGCTTCCTGTTAGAGTGTCCCCTCTGTCTCCATTGCTTCCTGTTGGAGTTTCCCCTCTGTCTCCATTGCTTCCTGTTAGAGTTTCCCCTTTGTCTCCATTGCTTCCTGTTGGAGTTTCCCCTTGGCTCCATTGCTTCCTGTTAGAGTGTCCCCTTTGTCTCCATTGCTTCCTGTTAGAGTGTCCCCTCTGTCTCCATTGCTTCCTGTTAGAGTTTCCCCTCTGTCTCCATTGCTTCCTGTTGGAGTTTCCCCTCTGTCTCCATTGCTTCCTGTTAGAGTGTCCCCTCTGTCTCCATTGCTTCCTGTTAGAGTTTCCCCTTGGCTCCATTGCTTCCTGTTAGAGTGTCCCTTCTGTCTCCATTGCTTCCTGTTAGAGTTTCCCCTTGGCTCCATTGCTTCCTGTTAGAGTTTCCCCTCTGTCTCCATTGCTTCCTGTTAGAGTTTCCCCTTGGCTCCATTGCTTCCTGTTAGAGTGTCCCCTCTGTCTCCATTGCTTCCTGTTAGAGAGTTCCCCTCTGTCTCCATTGCTTCCTGTTGGAGTTTCCCCTCTGTCTCCATTGCTTCCTGTTAGAGTTTCCCCTCTGTCTCCATTGCTTCCTGTTAGAGTTTCCCCTTGGCTCCATTGCTTCCTGTTAGAGTGCCCCCTCTGTCTCCATTGCTTCCTGTTAGAGTGTCCCCTCTGTCTCCATTGCTTCCTGTTAGAGTGTCCCCTTTGTCTCCATTGCTTCCTGTTAGAGTGTCCCCTCTGTCTCCATTGCTTCCTGTTAGAGTTTCCCCTTTGTCTCCATTGCTTCCTGTTAGAGTGTCCCCTCTGTCTCCATTGCTTCCTGTTAGAGTTTCCCCTCTGTCTCCATTGCTTCCTGTTAGAGTGTCCCCTCTGTCTCCATTGCTTCCTGTTAGAGTTTCCCCTTGGCTCCATTGCTTCCTGTTAGAGTGTCCCCTCTGTCTCCATTGCTTCTTGTTAGAGTGTCCCCTCTGTCTCCATTGCTTCCTGTTAGAGTTTCCCCTCTGTCTCCATTGCTTCCTGTTAGAGTTTCCCCTCTGTCTCCATTGCTTCCTGTTAGAGTTTCCCCTCTGTCTCCATTGCTTCCTGTTAGAGTTTCCCCTCTGTCTCCATTGCTTCCTGTTAGAGTTTCCCCTCTGTCTCCATTGCTTCCTGTTAGAGTGTCCCCTCTGTCTCCATTGCTTCAATGTGTTACACGTGACTGGGGATACTGCAATGTGAAACACCTGATGAGGAATATTTCACTGTTTAACCCCAGGACTAGGTTTAGATAATGGTTAACACATGAAGAAGGGGTTCTTCAATCAGCTGTAACACGTCGTGAGGCACTACATCTGTGTATAACTCGTGTGAAGGGAATGCTTTTGTAGACAAATTGCTTATTCTTTTGCAGGTTGAGTCTGCGACTCGCGGTAATTACCTCCCCATTGTGTTGTTTTGGGGTGTTTTTTTTGTTTTTGTTTTTTGGGGGGAGGGGGGGTGTCTGATTTACGAAAAGGCTTATATTTTCATAGATCCATCATAAAACCTTTTAAGAAGAGTGTGCACATGTTTTGTCTATAGCTTGTGATTAAAGAGATTGGGGCTGTTTTACACGGAGCACCAGCGGAGGAGTTCTGCTGGTGTCACGTTGATAAGTTACACTAGTTCCATGAAGCCGTATTAAACTCTTAAATTCTTTAGTCAATGGTGGGAATTGAAGGGTAACATTTCAAGCACTTGGATTTAAAAAGTCATAAGTCATACAGCATAATAAAACCAATATCACCCCCCACACACACACACACACACACCACACACACACCCACCCCACCCCCAGGTGTCTGTGCCACCGTGTGTTGTCAGGAGAGCACTGTATCCCGTGGGCTTCGTTACAGTGCTGCTGTAAGCCTGGTATGAGGTATATTAACAATGGTATGAGGTATATTAACAATGGTATGAGGTATATTAACAATGGTATGAGGTATATTAAACAGGTGCATATGATTATATAACTGTCACCTGCTCACGAATGTGCCAACAGTAAATGCTGACGGTGTGAAGGGACTAAACACCATGGACCATAAACAACACGAATTTAAGGACCGTTCATCCCATAAACCGACTTTGGGCTGTAAACTATTTGGGTTACGCTTTATGCGTTCAGGGCTGTTGTTTCCACTATGTAGCGTACACCACACAGGTACAGAATCATGTTTCAGGAAGGTGGCTGCGTGAGGCATCTGAGTCTGTGGTACGACCTGTATGAAGTGTCTTCTTGAAACGGTAGGCAACTGCATTTTAACAAACAACAACATACATATGGAAGAAATCGATAACAGCTTAACTCGAGTCAAGATTAATGTCAATACATATCCCAGATGAGACACTGGACTCATGAGGTCAGCCGGGACTGTCAACATTACAATCTATGATCCCCTCAGGCGGACACTCACAACTTAGATGTGTGTGGCGTTTTCATGATCGGTTGTTTAAATACAGCTGCTCCTTCTGGTCTGTTCTTTACATACAACTCGTCCTTCTGGTCTGTTCTTTACATACAACTCGTCCTCCTGGTCTGTTCTTTACATACAACTTGTCCTGCTGGTCTGTTCTTTACATACAACTCGTCCTCCTGGTCTGTTCTTTACATACAACTCGACCCGTGAAGGTCCGGGTCTATTAGAATAGCCCTTCAGCAACCCATGCTTGCTATAAAAGGCGACTATGCTTGTCGTAAAAGGCGACTAACGGGATCGGGTGGTCAGGCTCGCTGACTTGGTTGACACATGTCATCGGTTCCCCATTGCGCAGATCGATGCTCATGCTGTTGATCACTGGATTCTCTGGTCCAGACTCGATTATTTACAGACCGCCGCCATATAGCTTGAATATTGCTGAGTGCGGTGTAAAACTAAACTTACTCACTCATTTACATACAACTCGTCCTGCTGGTCTGTTCTTTACATACAACTCGTCCTCCTGGTCTGTTCTTTACATACAACTCGTCCTCCTGGTCTGTTCTTTACATACAACTCGTCCTGCTGGTCTGTTCTTTACATACAACTCGTCCTGCTGGTCTGTTATTTACATACAAATCGTCCTGCTGGTGTGTTCTTTACATACAACTCGTCCTTCTGGTCTGTTCTTTACATACAACTCGTCCTCCTGGTCTGTTCTTTACATACAACTCGTCCTGCTGGTCTGTTCTTTACATACAACTCGTCCTCCTGGTCTGTTCTTTACATACAACTCGTCCTGCTGGTCTGTTCTTTACATACAACTCGTCCTGCTGGTCTGTTATTTACATACAAATCGTCCTGCTGGTGTGTTCTTTACATACAACTCGTCCTTCTGGTCTGTTCTTTACATAAACAGAACAGAAGACAGTACCGTATATATCACACAAGACCTGTACGGTGTACAGAAGAGAGTACAGGATATATCACACAAGACCTGTACGGTGTACAGAAGACAGTACAGTATATATCACACAAGACCTGTACGGTGTACAGGGGACAGTACAGTATATATCACTACAGACCTGTACGGTGTACAGAAGAGAGTACAGGATATATCACACAAGACCTGTACGGTGTACAGAAGACAGTACAGTATATATCACACAAGACCTGTACGGTGTACAGGGGACAGTACAGTATATATCACTACAGACCTGTACGGTGTACAGAAGACAGTACAGTATATATCACACCAGACCTGTACGGTGTACAGAAGACAGTACAGTATATATCACACCAGACCTGTACGGTGTACAGAAGACAGTACAGTATATATCACATCAGACCTGTACAGTGTACAGGGGACAGTACAGTATATATCACACCAGACCTGTACGGTGTACAGGGGACAGTACAGTATATATCACACCAGACATGTACGGTGTACAGAAGACAGTACAGTATATATCACACCAGACCTGTACGGTGTACAGAAGAGAGTACAGTATATATCACACCAGACCTGTACAGTGTACAGAAGACAGTACAGTATGTATCACACCAGACCTGTACGGTGTACAGAAGACAGTACAGTATATATCACACCAGACATGTACGGTGTACAGAAGACAGTACAGTATATATCACACCAGACCTGTACGGTGTACAGAAGGCAGTACAGTATATATCACACCAGACCTGTACGGTGTACAGAAGAGAGTACAGTATATATCACACCAGACCTGTACAGTGTACAGGGACAGTACAGTATATATCACACCAGACCTGTACGGTGTACAGGGGACAGTACAGTATATATCACACCAAACCTGTACGGTGTACAGAAGACAGTACAGTATATATCACACCAGACTTGTATAGTGTACACGGGACAGTACAGTATATATCACACCAGACCTGTACGGTGTACAGAAGACAGTACAGTATATATCACACCAGACCTGTATAGTGTACAGGGGACAGTACAGTATATATCACACCAGACCTGTACGGTGGACAGAAGACAGTACAGTGTACAGGGGACAGTACAGTATATATCACACCAGACCTGTACGGTGTACAGAAGACAGTACAGTATATATCACACCAGACCTGTACAGTGTACAGGGGACAGTACCGTATATATCACACCAGACCTGTATGGTGTACAGAAGACAGTATAGTATATATCACACCAGACCTGTACAGTGTACAAAAGATAGTACAGTATATATCACACCAGACCTGTACGGTGTACAGAAGACAGTACAGTATATATCACACTAGACCTGTACAGTGTACAGGGGACAGTACAGGATATATCACACCAGACCTGTACAGTGTACAGGGGACAGTGCAGTATATATCACACCAGACCTGTACAGTGTACAGGGACAGTACAGTATATATCACACCAGACCTGTACGGTGTGCAGGGGACAGTACAGTATATATTACACCAGACCTGTATAGTGTACAGGGGACAGTACAGTATATATCACACCAGACCTGTATAGTGTACAGGGGACAGTACAGTATATATCACACCAGACCTGTACGGTGTACAGGGGACAGTACAGTATATATCACACCAGACCTGTACAGTGTACAGGGGACAGTACAGTATATATCACACCAGACCTGTATAGTGTACAGGGGACAGTACAGCATATATCACACCAGACCTGTATAGTGTACAGGGGACAGTGCAGTATATATCACACTAGACCTGTACAGTGTACAGGGGACAGTACAGTATATATCACACCAGACCTGTATAGTGTACAGGGGACAGTACAGCATATATCACACCAGACCTGTATAGTGTACAGGGGACAGTACAGTATATATCACACTAGACCTGTATAGTGTACAGGGGACAGTACAGCATATATCACACCAGACCTGTATAGTGTACAGGGGACAGTACAGCATATATCACACCAGACCTGTATAGTGTACAGGGGACAGTACAGTATATATCACACTAGACCTGTACAGTGTACAGGGGACAGTACAGTATATATCACACCAGACCTGTACAGTGTACAGGGGACAGTACAGCATATATCACACCAGACCTGTATAGTGTACAGGGGACAGTACAGTATATATCACACCAGACCTGTATAGTGTACAGGGGACAGTACAGTATATATCACACCAGACCTGTACGGTGTACAGGGGACAGTACAGTATATATCACACCAGACCTGTACGGTGTACAGAAGACAGTACAGTATATATCACACCAGACCTGTACAGTGTACAGGGGACAGTACAGTATATATCACACCAGACCTGTACAGTGTACAGGGGACAGTACAGTATATATCACACCAGACCTGTATAGTGTACAGGGGACAGTACAGTATATATCACACCAGACCTGTACAGTGTACAGGGGACAGTACAGTATATATCACACTAGACCTGTATAGTGTACAGGGGACAGTACAGTATATATCACACTAGACCTGTACGGTGTACAGGGGACAGTACAGTATATATCACACCAGACCTGTACAGTGTACAGGGGACAGTACAGTATATATCACACCAGACCTGTACGGTGTACAGGGGACAGTACAGTATATATCACACCAGACCTGTACGGTGTACAGGGGACAGTACAGTATATATCACACTAGACCTGTACGGTGTACAGGGGACAGTACAGTATATATCACACTAGACCTGTACGGTGTACAGGGGACAGTACAGTATATATCACACTAGACCTGTACGGTGTACAGGGGACAGTACAGTATATATCACACCAGACCTGTACAGTGTACAGGGGACAGTACAGTATATATCACACTAGACCTGTACGGTGTACAGGGGACAGTACAGTATATATCACACCAGACCTGTATAGTTTACAGGGGACAGTACAGTATATATCACACCAGACCTGTACGGTGTACAGGGGACAGTACAGTATATATCACACCAGACCTGTATAGTGTACAGGGGACAGTACAGTATATATCACACTAGACCTGTACAGTGTACAGGGGACAGTACAGTATATATCACACCAGACCTGTACGGTGTACAGAAGACAGTACAGTATATATCACACCAGACCTGTACAGTGTACAGGGGACAGTACAGTATATATCACACTAGACCTGTACGGTGTACAGGGGACAGTACAGTATATATCACACCAGACCTGTATAGTGTACAGAAGACAGTACAGTATATATCACACCAGACCTGTACGGTGTACAGAAGACAGTACAGTATATATCACACCAGACCTGTACAGTGTACAGGGGACAGTACAGTATATATCACACTAGACCTGTACGGTGTACAGGGGACAGTACAGTATATATCACACAGACCTGTACGGTGTACAGGGACAGTACAGTATATATCACACAGACCTGTACGGTGTACAGAAGACAGTACAGTATATATCACACCAGACCTGTACGGTGTACAGAAGACAGTACAGTATATATCACACCAGACCTGTACGGTGTACAGAGACAGTACAGTATATATCACACCAGACCTGTATAGTGTACAGGGGACAGTACAGTATATATCACACCAGACCTGTATAGTGTACAGAAGACAGTACAGTATATATCACACCAGACCTGTACAGTGTACAGAAGACAGTACAGTATATATCACACCAGACCTGTACGGTGTACAGAAGACAGTACAGTATATATCACACCAGACCTGTACGGTGTACAGAAGACAGTACAGTATATATCACACCAGACCTGTACGGTGTACAGAAGACAGTACAGTATATATCACACCAGACCTGTATAGTGTACAGGGGACAGTACAGTATATATCACACCAGACCTGTAATAGTGTACAGGGGACAGTACAGTATATATCACACCAGACCTGTACGGTGTACAGGGGACAGTACAGTATATATCACACCAGACCTGTATAGTGTACAGGGGACAGTACAGTATATATCACACCAGACCTGTACGGTGTACAGAAGAGAGTACAGTATATATCACACCAGACCTGTACGGTGTACAGAAGAGAGTACAGTATATATCACACCAGACCTGTACGGTGTACAGAAGACAGTACAGTATATATCACACTAGACCTGTACAGTGTACAGGGGACAGTACAGTATATATCACACCAGACCTGTACACTCGGTTCTTCTCAGTACTGTGTTCATACCCCAGCGAGGAGTATCAAAGCTATGCTTGTGTGTTTATAAACAGGTTCAATAAGACGTTACATCAATGTGAGCTACAGGATCCAACTGTGTAATGTTGTATAGACCAATTCAACGCCTACTTTCTAGAAGCACTACACTATGAGGAGACACGTGTACAATTGTGAAACGACAGGTGCTACTATTGAATGCTGTGGTCGCATATCTATCTATAACTCTTGTTTTGGCAGGGCGATATAAACTATATCTATATATGCTGGTGTATACAATGTTATAACTAGGGGGCCACAATGCCAAACATAATGAATATTGGGAAGGATATTCTGGTTGGTCGTACACGATAATCGATCCCAAACGACAGGCGTAAAGATCAGTATTGATCTACTTTACTTGTTTCTACCTACAAAGCCCCATGACGCTGTGATTTGAATTGAGAAAGTCGATCGTGAAGTGTGTCTATACAATAGGCCGCCATCAAGATATTCATGAAAGATTCTTTCACGTGGGGATAAAGAGGTTAGATTGTTGTGTTGTGCTTTCAATGTAATCGTGTTCTTTGATTTAAAGCATCAACGTCTGGTCTGCGAACAACTTCTTTATTGCACGCCTTAGTCGACACGACGTACCCACAATGAGACACCGTCTCACAACGACAGCCAAACAGTGCTCCAAGTAAATAACCGTGGCATTGTGCCGGGATGCAGAAATCTCCGACTCAGTTTATTGTGTGACGGGTTATCAGTTTAGTGTCCGACGGTTATCTCATGGCTGATGCCGTTCTCTTCTCATTCTCTCTAAACAAGGAATCAACGTTGGCATTGTTGTGTCTGCCGCGGGGAGCTAGTAAGTGACGTAATGTGTCACATGACTGCTGCCACTCAGCGAGGTGATATGACTTTATACATCACAACGGTACGGTTATGACACAGGTAGGAATGTATCAGCTGCCACCTTGTGTTGGACCCGACATATCCCTCAACTCCAGCCATGCAGCTACTGTACGAAGTGTGGGCGGATGTACTATAGTGTCTGATGTTCGACCAGCGGTGTGACAAGGCGGAGGTATGGTACTTAATCCACACATGGACAGGTATTTGTCGCTATTATTTAACTCGGTGTTAAACGTGACTGATGTATGTTGCCAGAAGGAACGTGATTACGAACACTAGACAACCATCACGACATTAGCAATTTCCATTTTAAATAAAGCCCTCTACCCTCAATATTTGGACGCTATTGTATTTCAGTAATGAGCATCGATTAAAGCATTCAACCATTACATATGACTGAGCTACATAGGTATCATGCTTTGACTTGTGGTGGTGTGTGGTCCTGTACAAACGGTGACCGAGTCTGGCAGCTTGCCTCCTGAGAGATTCCACAACGAAGCGCACGTGATACCTTAGGAAAGTCAGGGAGACCATATAAGATTGTAGATTATCCCTGGGAAAGTGAGTTCGTTCAAAATTGCCTGTTCTCCCAGCAGAAAATGGGTACCCGGCGGGATAAGTCATGTGATTATTAACATACAACCCTTCTAGCGCTTCACAGGCAGCTTTAGTTATCTGGGGTAATAATAATAGCGCTTTGAGCAAGTTATACATCCTGGAATAGCGCTATAAAAGTGGACTATTATTTTATTGCGCCGGCCTTCTTACACGTCATGCAGGTTCAAAGCGCCAAGGGGCGGTGGGGTAACCTAGTGGTTAAAGCGTTGGCTCGCCACGCCGAAGACCCGGGTTCGAATGGGTACAATGTGTGAAGCCCATTTCTGGTGTCCCCCGCCGTGATGTTGCTGGAATATTGCTAAAAGCGGCGTAAAACCAAAGTCAGGCAGTCAGTCAAAGCGCCAAGCTTATTACCTTGTCAATGGATCAGTGTTTAAATTATTTCATTCTCAGCTCCCCGGGGAGCCCAAACTGGCTTGCTATTCATCAGAAGGTTAACGGTTACATTACCACCTCACACTATCGGGTACCCATTTTAATGCTGAGTGAATGAAAGCACATTTAGAACCGTCGCTTTCCTAAGGAGACCCAACATATGCTAGATGTGCTCAGTGCAGGGTTAGGAACTCTCGTGTTAACGTTTCAATGTGTGGAAGTCAATGTTACAATATCGGAGTTATCTGTTAGTGCCGATGAAACTCGTCATTTGTCTTCCAGGCCTGTCCACCTGAATAGCCCCAGTCTGAGATGTAACGTATAGTGAAGCATTCAACCTCTGCAAAACTAACTGTCCTTGAATGTATGGGTAGATAACTAACTGTAAAGTGTACCTCCGCTCTACATCGGAGGTTCAGTCCTTGAATGTATGGGTAGATAACTAACTGTAAAGTGTACCTCCGCTCTACATCGGAGGTTCAGTCCTTGAATGTATGGGTAGATAACTAACTGTAAAGTGTACCTCCGCTCTACATCGGAGGTTCAGTCCTTGAATGTATGGGTAGATAACTAACTGTAAAGTGTACCTCCGCTCTACATCGGAGGTTCAGTCCTTGAATGTATGGGTAGATAACTAACTGTAAAGTGTACCTCCGCTCTACATCGGAGATTCAGTTCTTGAATGTATGGGTAGATAACTAACTGTAAAGTGTACCTCCGCTCTACATCGGAGGTTCAGTCCTTGAATGTATGTGTAGATAACTAACTGTAAAAGTGTACCTCCGCCTCTACATCGGAGGTTAAGTCCTTGAATGTATGGGTAGATAACTAACTGTAAAGTGTACCTCCGTTCTACATCGGAGGTTCAGTCCTTGAATGTATGAGTAGATAACTAATCAGAAGTGTACTCCGCTCTACATCGGAGGTTCAGTCCTTGAAATGTATGGGTAGATAACTAATCAAAAGTGTACCTCCGCTCTACATCGGAGGTTCAGTCCTTGAATGTATGGGTAGATAACTAACTGTAAAGTGTACCTCCGCTCTACATCGGAGGTTCAGTCCTTGAATGTATGGGTAGATAACTAACTGTAAAGTGTACCTCCGCTCTACATCGGAGGTTCAGTCCTTGAATGTATGGGTAGATAACTAACTGTAAAGTGTACCTCCGCTCTACATCGGAGGTTCAGTCCTTGAATGTATGGGTAGATAACTAACTGTAAAGTGTACCTCCGCTCTACATCGGAGGTTCAGTCCTTGAATGTATGGGTAGATAACTAACTGTAAAGTGTACCTCCGCTCTACATCGGAGGTTCAGTCCTTGAATGTATGGGTAGATAACTAACTGTAAAGTGTACCTCCGCTCTACATCGGAGGTTCAGTCCTTGAATGTATGGGTAGATAACTAACTGTAAAGTGTACCTCCGCTCTACAACGGAGATTCAGTCCTTCATTGTATGGGTAGATTTCCCTGGTACATCCTTGAGCTGAAGGATCTGACACACCATCTACCTCCACTATACTTACACACCATCTACCTCCACTATACTTACACACCATCTACCTCCACTATACTTACACACCATCTACCTCCACTATCCTTACACACCATCTACCTCCACTATCCTTACACACCATCTACCTCCACTATACTTACACACCATCTACCTCCACTATACTTACACACCATCTACCTCCACTATACTTACACACCATCTACCTCCACTATCCTTACACACCATCTACCTCCACTATCCTTACACACCATCTACCTCCACTATCCTTACACACCATCTACCTCCACTATACTTACACACCATCTACCTCCACTATACTTACACACCATCTACCTCCACTATCCTTACACACCATATACCTCCACTATCCTTACACACCATCTACCTCCACTATCCTTACACACCATCTACCTCCACTATACTTACACACCATCTACCTCCACTATCCTTACACACCATCTACCTCCACTATACTTACACACCATCTACCTCCACTATACTTACACACCATCTACCTCCACTATATCCTTACACACCATATACCTCCACTATCCTTACACACTATCTACCTCCACTATACTTACACACCATCTACCTCCACTATACTTCCCTATATGTAAACAGGACATACACATTCCACTGTAGCCATGGGGGCGCTCTAACAGTCACCAAGCCGAGTGATCTAGGAGTATGGTTTCAACAAATCCATGTCTTTATCACGGATAAACGTTGTATAACATTCTCAACTAGATTACAATAATTTAGTGTGGGTTCTCCGGGGGACTTTCCCCATATTATTTCAGGTATGTGTGTACAGTCTGGGTTCACCTCGTGCACAACTATCGTGCCCGCCCGCCCACAGACTTCCCGCACCCACACACACCCACCCACACGTCCACACACCAAACCCCTCCGTCCCCAACCTTGTACTGAGACAGTTTTACACGCCACAGACGGTCGGCTGTCATTATTATACAACCGCTTCTTACTCAGGACACTGACCTATTATAGAGCAATAACAAGCCGTGGGTAATCTCAAAGTTCAATAGCCTCAAATATTTGGGTGCTTATTGGTCGAGGTTCTTGCACAAATTGTACCTATGCTGGGAACGAAAATAGGCTTCACATATTGTACTTATGTGGGGAAGAAGATATAGTAGGAAAGTAAGATTGTTTATGGTTAACAACTTCTTTATTATATATGATGCGAGATTTCGGTATGGATTCTTATACCGTTGTCAAGCAAGAGTGAAGTACTACAGCACAGAACAGACTTATATACATGAACAGGGATTAAGTAATAACAACATGTAGCTATGAATCAAGGGGATTAACAACAACAACAAGGCACGGGGGTAATAATGTAGTGACAATAGGAGGAAGCCAATGGTCCTAGAGGCAGAAACAAAATATACATGGCTGATGAGATTAATTAGCAATGATAGCTGGAGTGCTCTAATCTGTTGTTTTTATCAGTTCATTGTATGCAGAAGGGATGAGATATCCCTGGTCTCTGTTGATTGAGGGCTTGTGTGTCCGGATTTGAACTGCTTCTGCAAGTTTTCTTTTGGTGAAGTCCTGGTGGTTTTTCGATAATATCTCTGCATTGTCCCAAATTATGTTGTGATTGGGACAGTTGATGATGTGGTCTGATATTGCTGATTTTCTGTCAGATTTAGTGGTAGATGATAAGTGTTTTTTGATTCTGATATTTACGGGCCGGGAGGTTTCGCCTACAGAGGCCTCGCCACAGTTACAATTGATTTTGTAGACAACACCTTTGGGTTGATGTTGTCGTTTAGAGGTGTTCCTGCCATTAGCTTTCAGTAGGGTTTTCAGTGGTGTAGAGCTGGTAAAGTAAGTTTCGATGCCTGCTTGTCGCTGCAGGAGACGGCTGATGTGGTGGGAGGTCTTCCCTATGAAGGGGAGGGAGATACGAATAGGTGCTGGTTCAGGTTTGTTTGAGGCCGGTTTTCTTGTTGGGTGGAGTGTGGAGCTGATAACTTCATCGACTAGCTTTGACGGGTAGTGGTTGAACTTGGGGAAAACATGGCGGAGGTGCTGTATTTCTGTAGTGGGACTGGTGGAGGAGAGGTTGATGGCTCGTCTGGTGAGGGTAGAGATAATGCCAGTTTTGGTTCTCAAGGGGTGGTTGGAGTCAAAATGAATGTATTGGCCGGAGTGGGTTGGCTTTCTATAGACACTGGTTTGGATCTTGTTAGCTGGGGTTCTGGTTACAAGGACATCTAGGAAGGGAAGTTGACCATTGGATTCTGTTTCTACGGTGAACTGGACCCGGGGGTGCTGTTGGGTGAGGTGTTGCAGGAGCGCTGCTGGGTCTTGGTCTTGACGAAGAATGACAAACGTGTCATCGACCTTCCTGTACCAGCAGGTTGGTTTGATGTATATTTTGTTTCTGCCTCTAGGACCATTGGCTTCCTCCTATTGTCACTACATTATTACCCCCGTGCCTTGTTGTTGTTGTTAATCCCCTTGATTCATAGCTACATGTTGTTATTACTTAATCCCTGTTCATGTATATAAGTCTGTTCTGTGCTGTGGTACTTCACTCTTGCTTGACAAAGGCATAAGAATCCATACCGAAACGTCGCATCATATATGATAAAGAAGTTGTTAACCATAAACAATCTTACTTTCTTATTAGTCACCAACTTCTAACTGCCAATCAAACAGTTCAAGAAGATATAGGCTTCACACATTGTACCATTGTCAGGAAGGAGAAATAGGCTTCACACTTTGTACCATTGTCGGGAAGGAGAAATAGGCTTCACACACTGTACCATTGTCGGGAAGGAGAAATAGGCTTCACACTTTGTACCATTGTCGGGAAGGAGAAATAGGCTTCACACACTGTACCATTGTCGGGAAGGAGAAATAGGCTTCACACACTGTACCATTGTCGGGAAGGAGAAATAGGCTTCACACACTGTACCATTGTCTGGAAGGAGAAATAGGCTTCACACACTGTACCATTGTCGGGAAGGAGAAATCGGCTTCACACATTGTACCATTGTCGGGAAGGAGAAACAGGCTTCACACTTTGTACCATTGTCGGGAAGGAGAAATAGGCTTCACACTTTGTACCATTGTCGGGAAGGAGAAATAGGCTTCACACACTGTACCATTGTCGGGAAGGAGAAATAGGCTTCACACACTGCACCATTGTCGGGAAGGAGAAATAGGCTTCACACTTTGTACCATTGTCGGGAAGGAGAAATAGGCTTCACACACTGTACCATTGTCGGGAAGGAGAAATAGGCTTCACACACTGTACCATTGTCGGGAAGGAGAAATAGGCTTCACACACTGTACCATTGTCGGGAAGGAGAAATAGGCTTCACACACTTTATACCATTGTCAGGAAGGAGAAATAGGCTTCACACATTGTACCATTGTCAGGAAGGAGAAATAGGCTTCACACACTGTACCATTGTCGGGAAGGAGAAATAGGCTTCACACATTGTACCATTGTTGGGAAGGAGAAATAGGCTTCACACATTGTACCATTGTCGGGAAGGAGAAATAGGCTTCACACTTTATACCATTGTCGGGAAGGAGAAATAGGCTTGACACACTGTACCATTGTTGGGAAGGAGAAATAGGCTTCACACACTGTACCATTGTTGGGAAGGAGAAATAGGCTTCATACATTGTACCTATGTTGGGAAGGAGAAATAGGCTTCACAAATTGTTCCTATGTTGGGAACGAGAAATAGGCTTCACATATTGTACCTATGTCGGGAAAGAGAAATAGGCATCACATATTGTACCTATGTTGGGAACGAGAAATAGGCTTCACACATTGTTCCCATGTTGGGAACGAGAAATAGGCTTCACATATTGTACCTATGTTGGGAACGAGAAATAGGCTTCACATACTGTACCTATGTTGGGAACGAGAAATAGGCTTCACATACTGTACCTATGTTGGGAACGAGAAATAGGCTTCACACATTGTTCCTATGTTGGGAACGAGAAATAGGCTTCGCACATTGTTCCTTTGTTGGGAACGAGAAATAGGCTTCACATATTGTACCTATGTTGGGAACGAGAAATAGGCTTCACATATTGTACGTATGTTCGAAAAGAGAAATAGGCATCACATATTGTACCAATGTGGGAAAGGAGAAATAGGCTTCAAATATTGCACTTGCGAGGGGAATCGAACCTTGGGCTTCGGCGTGACTCGCCAGGCTGGCCCGCCGCCCCATATACAGCTAAGTATGGTTGACTGTTGTGTGACGTGAGCGTACAATGGTGTTATGTAACTTGAAGTCTTGTTTTCCTTGTTGTCATGGATGCTGGTTAATGGGTGGTGTTTGCTGTTATTCCAGACCGAGCTGTCGGGGTGATAGTCAACGGAAGGGATTCCCGGACCCGCGGATCACCACGGATCTCTTCAGACGTTATGACGTTAGACTTTGGCAGTGGAAGGCGGTGAGAAACCTCAGCTGAACACCATCGCAAACAGACGATGATGAATGGACAGAGGAAAACGCCGCGACGTCAAGGGGGTGGCATGTTGACGTCATTTCAGAATGGTATTAGTGCTGACATTAACTCTGTGAAGAAGAAACTGAATCCACATATGCCAGAGCCAGAGCAAATGTGGAAACTGCAGAGAGTGACTGACAAACGTGTGAAAAATCGAGTTTCAGAAGGACTGTCCCCCGAGGGAAAGATTGCGATGGAGCAGGCCAAGGCAGAGGTCGAACTCCCGAGGAGAGGCGAACTCAGCCATCACAACGATAGTGACACAACTGATAGCCAAAGTAGCAATCAGAAGAAACGCGGGAAAGTTAAAAAGCAGATAAGTTTTGTCGACGCATATGAAAGTTCGTCTGTCTCGAGACTCTCCGGGGACCTTCTGGACGAGAGTTCCTGTGACAGGAATCAAAGACGTCGTGCTCTCGGCGGAGGCAATGTTTGTGTCGCCATGGAAACCGTAGAGATTGTCAGCTACGGGGAAACACCAATCGATTCGGAAGCAGACGATATTGCAATTGAGGAAACGGCAAAACTAAATTCAGTGGAGAAATGTCTTGTTTGGATGGGAGTCCATGGCCAAGATGCATGCAAAAGCATCAAGTCCCATGAAGGATCAGTTCCGAGGATGTCAGGCAATAGGCAGTCATGAGACATTCAACCTGCGGTCTTTGGATTGTCAGGCAGGCTGTCCATGGCCAGGAGATGCCAGGGACCCAGGCAAGGCAGTCAGGAGACATTCAACCTGCAGTCTGGCTGCCAGGGATGTCAGGCAGGCTGTCTGTAAGCAGTCAGGAGACATTCAACCTGCGGTCTGGCTGCCAGGGATGTCAGGCAGGCTGTCTGTAGGCAGTCAGGAGACATTCAACCTGCGGTCTGGCTGCCAGGGATGTCAGGCAGGCTGTCTGTAAGCAGTCAGGAGGCGGTCTGGCTGCGGTCTGGCAGCCAGGGATGTCAGGCAGGCTGTCTGTAAGCAGTCAGGAGACATTCAACCTGCACTGTCTGGCTGTCTCGGTGTTGCTTGGCCTTCAGAGACGTTTGAAGTATAAACAGGAGATAGAAAACTCTATTTTATACTAAGATATTTATGCTAAGACTGGGTTCCTTCGTGGGTGACAAATGGAATACAATAAACATCTATCCCATTGTCATGGTAACATGCATTTCGTATGTCTGATCTATGTGCTTCATACCGTTGGGTAGCGTGTATTGACTTTAGATGTACGTTTATCACAGAACCTATCATTAACACACAAACTGTCGTCTGACAATATGGTGACAAATACATGCCAAGCATGTAAACTTTCAAATTGTGGTTAAGAGTGAGTGAGTGAGTTTAGTTTTACGCCGCACTCAGCAATATTCCAGCTATATGGCGGCGGTCTGTAAATAATCGAGTCTAGACCAGACAATCCAGTGATCAACAGCATGAACATCGATCTGCGCAATTGGGAACCGATGACATGTGTCAACCAAGTCAGCGAGCCTGACCACACGATCCCGTTAGTCGCCTCTAACGACAAGCATGGGTTACTGAAGATAATAATAATAATAATAATTGATTTATAGAGCGCCTATTTCCAAAAGATATTGCTCAATGGCGCTATGAAGAGAAAAGATTGTAGACAATGTCTATGGAAAAGAGAGTTTGAACAGATGAGTTTTGAGGGCAGTTTTGAAAGCATCAGCAGATTCTATTTCTTTTAGGGTGAGTGGTAGAATGTTCCAGAGATAGGGGGCTGCAGCAGAGAACGCTCTTGATCCCATGTCTGTTTTGACGTGAGGCTGTGTAAGCAGTAGGGAGTTTGACGAGCGGAGCAATCGGCTTGGAACATGGAGATGAATGAGGTTTTTAAGATATTGAGAAAACATGTTTTCATAGATGCAGCTGTGTGTAAGAAGAAGAATCAATATTTTACCCGGACCTTCACGGGTAAATTGTGGCTAAGAGAACAGTGATGTTAGGTTTATCTCTAGAGGATCACGGCTTTAGTGTTCGTTCAACCAGACATTCGCATGAAGAGTTCTTTATTCTTGAAGACATGTTCCTGTTACACGTGTAAATACCTAGAACCTATGGGTTCTTCCTGTGACACATATGTGGGGCTTTATAGGGTGGATATGTAACGACCTTCGACAGAGTCAGTTGCAATATGCCTTTCTGTGTTTTTAAAATCGGAATAACATCGATGTAAATATTGTATAATTTATGCACGTACATGTGCGTGTGGATAGATGCTACTACATGCAACAATATACACTAATACTCATAGCAACGTTTTGTCATTTCAGTGAAGGGAGGTGATGAAGGCGGGAACGTAGTTTAAAGCCACAGTTACTATTCCTGTTGTATCACCAAGGTAAAATATCCATTACCACAGATCGATGACCCTGAAATACAGGTGGCAGTTCAGACCAATGTTGTCCAATAACAGCATGACTTCCACCTCCATTACCACAGATCGATGACCCTGAATACAGGTGGCACTCAGTGTTGTCCAATGCTGACTTTCAATTAGATCAGCTGACTTAACAGCTGACACCTCCATTACCACAGATCGATGACCCTGAATACAGGTGGCACTCAGTGTTGTCCAATAACAGCTGACTTCCACCTCCATTACCACAGATCGATGACCCTAAATACAGGTGGCACTCAATGTTGTCCAATAACAGCTGACTTCCACCTCCATTACCACAGATCGATGACCCTAAATACAGGTGGCACTCAGTGTTGTCCAATAACAGCTGACTTCCACCTCCATTACCACAGATCGATGACCCTAAATACAGGTGGCACTCAGTGTTGTCCAATAACAGCTGACTTCCACCTCCATTACCACAGATCGATGACCCTAAATACAGGTGGCACTCAATGTTGTCCAATAACAGCTGACTTCCACCTCCATTACCACAGGTCGATGACCCTAAATACAGGTGGCACTCAGTGTTGTCCAATAACAGCTGACTTCCACCTCCATTACCACAGATCGATGACCCTAAATACAGGTGGCACTCAGTGTTGTCCAATAACAGCTGACTTCCACCTCCATTACCACAGATCGATGACCCTGAATATAGGTGGCACTCAATGTTGTCCAATAACAGCTGACTTCCACCTCCATTACCACAGATCGATGACCCTAAATACAGGTGGCACTCAATGTTGTCCAATAACAGCTGACTTCCACCTCCATTACCACAGGTCGATGACCCTAAATACAGGTGGCACTCAGTGTTGTCCAATAACAGCTGACTTCCACCTCCATTACCACAGGTCGATGACCCTAAATACAGGTGGCACTCAATGTTGTCCAATAACAGCTGACTTCCACCTCCATTACCACAGATCGATGACCCTGAATACAGGTGGCACTCAGTGTTGTCCAATAACAGCTGACTTCCACCTCCATTACCACAGATCGATGACCCTGAATACAGGTGGCACTCAGTGTTGTCCAATAACAGCTGACTTCCACCTCCATTACCACAGGTCGATGACCCTGAATATAGGTGGCACTCAGTGTTGTCCAATAACAGCTGACTTCCACCTCCATTACCACAGGTCGATGACCCTAAATATAGGTGGCACTCAGTGTTGTCCAATAACAGCTGACTTCCACCTCCATTACCACAGATCGATGACCCTAAATACAGGTGGCACTCAGTGTTGTCCAATAACAGCTGACTTCCACCTCCATTACCACAGATCGATGACCCTAAATATAGGTGGCACTCAGTGTTGTCCAATAACAGCTGACTTCCACCTCCATTACCACAGATCGATGACCCTAAATACAGGTGGCACTCAGTGTTGTCCAATAACAGCTGACTTCCACCTCCATTACCACAGGTCGATGACCCTAAATATAGGTGGCACTCAGTGTTGTCCAATAACAGCTGACTTCCACCTCCATTACCACAGATCGATGACCCTAAATACAGGTGGCAGGTGGCACTCAGTGTTGTCCAATAACAGCTGACTTCCACCTCCATTACCACAGGTCGATGACCCTGAATACAGGTGGCACTCAGTGTTGTCCAATAACAGCTGACTTCCACCTCCATTACCACAGATCGATGACCCTGAATATAGGTGGCACTCAATGTTGTCCAATAACAGCTGACTTCCACCTCCATTACCACAGATCGATGACCCTGAATACAGGTGGCACTCAATGTTGTCCAATAACAGCTGACTTCCACCTCCATTACCACAGATCGATGACCCTAAATACAGGTGGCACTCAGTGTTGTCCAATAACAGCTGACTTCCACCTCCATTACCACAGGTCGATGACCCTAAATACAGGTGGCACTCAATGTTGTCCAATAACAGCTGACTTCCACCTCCATTACCACAGATCGATGACCCTGAATACAGGTGGCACTCAATGTTGTCCAATAACAGCTGACTTCCACCTCCATTACCACAGATCGATGACCCTGAATACAGGTGGCACTCAATGTTGTCCAATAACAGCTGACTTCCACCTCCATTACCACAGATCGATGACCCTGAATACAGGTGGCACTCAGTGTTGTCCAATAACAGCTGACTTCCACCTCCATTACCACAGATCGATGACCCTGAATACAGGTGGCACTCAGTGTTGTCCAATAACAGCTGACTTCCACCTCCATTACCACAGGTCGATGACCCTGAATACAGGTGGCACTCAGTGTTGTCCAATAACAGCTGACTTCCACCTCCATTACCACAGATCGATGACCCTAAATACAGGTGGCACTCAGTGTTGTCCAATAACAGCTGACTTCCACCTCCATTACCACAGATCGATGACCCTAAATATAGGTGGCACTCAGTGTTGTCCAATAACAGCTGACTTCCACCTCCATTACCACAGGTCGATGACCCTAAATATAGGTGGCACTCAGTGTTGTCCAATAACAGCTGACTTCCACCTCCATTACCACAGATCGATGACCCTGAATATAGGTGGCACTCAGTGTTGTCCAATAACAGCTGACTTCCACCTCCATTACCACAGGTCGATGACCCTAAATATAGGTGGCACTCAGTGTTGTCCAATAACAGCTGACTTCCACCTCCATTACCACAGGTCGATGACCCTGAATACAGGTGGCACTCAGTGTTGTCCAATAACAGCTGACTTCCACCTCCATTACCACAGGTCGATGACCCTAAATATAGGTGGCACTCAGTGTTGTCCAATAACAGCTGACTTCCACCTCCATTACCACAGGTCGATGACCCTGAATACAGGTGGCACTCAGTGTTGTCCAATAACAGCTGACTTCCACCTCCATTACCACAGGTCGATGACCCTAAATACAGGTGGCACTCAGTGTTGTCCAATAACAGCTGACTTCCACCTCCATTACCACAGATCGATGACCCTGAATACAGGTGGCACTCAATGTTGTCCAATAACAGCTGACTTCCACCTCCATTACCACAGATCGATGACCCTAAATACAGGTGGCACTCAATGTTGTCCAATAACAGCTGACTTCCACCTCCATTACCACAGGTCGATGACCCTAAATACAGGTGGCACTCAGTGTTGTCCAATAACAGCTGACTTCCACCTCCATTACCACAGGTCGATGACCCTAAATATAGGTGGCACTCAATGTTGTCCAATAACAGCTGACTTCCACCTCCATTACCACAGATCGA